TAGATTGTTTAAAAGCACACACAATTTGTATGGTTCTTGGCCTGAGTCTGTTGAATAATGATTGCTTTCTATTATGATCTTTTTTTCCACGATACTAACATCTTCCTTTGCCATACCACTAGCTCGTTGGAGGTGGGGCAAAGAGCAGATTTTTGAATTTAATCTCATCTGTCAGAATGAACAGGCTTTTAAAAATCTTCTCGGGCTTTTTATTCTTTGAATACATTATTGAGTATATTCCAGAACCTTTTTATCTTGCACTTCCATGACATATGTTCCTCATAAGAGGGGGGAAAAAAAAAAGTAATGGCTTAGCTGTGTTAGAGCCAGGGTCTGTCAAGCCTGGTGTCCTATTGTTCCTGTGGCAAAGCGCGTGTGGCTGAATAAATCACAGCGTCTTGCTCAGCCTGCGCTGGACCGTGCTCTCTAGTCGGCCGCATCCGTCACCTCCTCGGCAGAAGGAACTGCGCTGTTGCACGCAGCACGCAGAGTCTGGAGCGTTCGCGTACCCGAATGCGAGATCCTGGGCATGGCAGGTTACTCGGCCCATGATGGCAAGAAACCTGCAGCTTGCCTGTGGTCATGACGAGGAGTTGGAAGAGCTGTCAAAGTTGCTTTTGCTGGGGCAGTATCCTGCTTGACAGGAGAGGAAAGAACAAGATGCGAGTCAAAATGAAAATAAAGGGATTATTGCTGTTTCGTACAAAGAGCTTCTTTGACCTCCCCTAGGTAGTTGCCAAAAAATGGGTGTGTAGGGAGATACAAGAATAAATGCAAACATCTTATTTCTATAATGCTTCTGTAGCTCTCAACTGTTTTTGGCTTTAGGCTTTTCTGGAGCTGGTTGTGACGGCCCATTGGATTTCTTATTCATGAAACAGCCCAATCTTCTTCTAAGCCTGTGTGTAAATTAAGCCTTCCCTGCCTGCCTCTACTCAGTTTGTTTTGAGTCACTAAATCCATCAACATAATTAAAGTTTGTAGCATTCCAGTTAGCTTCCAAATATAACATTATTTTCTAGCAAATATTTTGTCATTTTATTTTGTTTTGGTTTTCTATCCTAGGTAATTCTTAAACTAGTTATTACAGTAAGTAACACTGAACCATCCTTCAACCCTTCCGTACTTATGTCCTTTGTGACAGCTTCTAGCTTTTGTTACTAAGAGCTTAGGAAGAATATAATTATCAATTGAGTTAGAATAAACATAATTACTGAATTTTGATTGGAAAGGGAGTTACAGATCTTCAGATTCTCCTTTCATACCAAATATATAATGCTTTTTTAAGCTGAATAAGAAAATATCTCGCTCTAGTAGATGTTAAAAGGATCCTTGAAGTATTTATAATAGGGCAGGCATGGTCTCCAGCATAAAGCTGAGAGCCCACCAGGTGGTGCTAGTGGAATATATTTAATGTTGGTTTAACTACTCAAAATGCGTCTTAAGAAATGTGAATGAGACGGACGCAGTGTACAAGAACTTACTTTTTATGCAGCAGGCCTGTTTGTACAGCTAAAAAGAGTGAATTGAAATGTTGCCTAGCACCTTTGTCTGGGAACTTTTAACTTTCAAAAGTTGGATATAGATGCTGAGGAAAAAAAACTTACTATAATTTGGCTAATGTGGGAAGCGGATAGTATGGAGGCGTACTCCCAGGTTCTCAACCTGCTTTTTTACTAATTCGGAGAACAGTTTATGAAACTTGTCCATTCGTGTGCTATAAGCATATTCTATCATGACCACTTGCTTATTTACCTGCTCCTTTTTGACTTTAAATAGCAAAATAATTTTTTATAACTGATAAGATTTTGGTCACTTTCTCTTAAGGAATGCATAGGCAAAACGATCTCAGTTTACAAGGGGGTATGAGAGTCTAGTCTTCTGGTTTAATGCATTATGTGGCTTAAAAAGTCAGAGTAGAAACAAATTCTAGTTTTGAAGATACACAGATTTTTAGAGACAGTTTTTCTCAACTATTAGGAGGGCTTTTTTTTGACTTTTTGGACCATTTTAAAAGAAAAGAGGAGGGTGGAAGTTAGACAACAGTGTGGACCACCGTAGTTTGGAGTACATTTCTATTGCCTGCTGATCTGAGCAGATTTGGTTTTATGTTAATGTGCTCTGACATAAAATATGTTTATTCTTGGAAAGCATATGATGTAGAGCGTTATATAACATTAAATTAGCTTAAATCGTTGTGCACAGCATCCCCCTTTAAAGAGAATTATTAGGATTTGGAAAATGTCTGTGGACCGAAGTGACTGTCTCCTGTCTAGTCAAAAAGCAAAATCCAGAAAAACTGCAAACAAAAATCCCCAAACCTATTTTGCTTGTAATCTCAGTATCGTGACCAAGCCAAATGTTTCAGCATTGTATATGCCAGCATCACATTAGTAACCACCTCACTGTAGCTAAAACCAAACTAAATAAAACCACATGACAGCCACTAATAGGTCTGTAAAAGTTTGGTTGCCTATGGTTGAACAAACCAGAGGATGGTTTCTTTGGTGTTTCTGGCCCTACGCATTTACTCTGGGTAACAAAATTGTTTAATGTCAGTGTTTCACTGTCTTAGACGCAGCGGCATGGGGTTCTGCATGAGTGGAAATTCTTCCCCCCCCTTTTTCCAAGTCTGCTGCACCAAATACTTTATAGAATAACTGCAGGCGTATACAAAACCATCTTAGAGTAGATGTCAAATATCCAATGTATGCTGCTTCTGAAAGTTCTTTTTATGTTGTGTTTTTCTGCTTCAGAAAGTTTCTTGCTTGGCTTTTCCCCCTTCCCCTCCCCTGGTGAATAAATGTTCTTGTACTTGACGAAAGGAAATGTGTTCTTTTCAAATGTCTCTTTCTCTCATCTCAAGTTTAATTTTATTTACGCATTTTAGCAAGGAGTTTTTTGTATTGCCTGCCTTAAAGTTAGAGCAATAGTATTATTGCAATCCTCTCACTTCTGCAAATTGTCAGTGTAGCATTAATGAGAATCAATAAATGTCAAGTGTGTTAAAATGCCCATCCAGATCACTTTGTTTTTCCACTGTGCAAAATACTGGGAAGTATCAAGAAATAAGCTGTGGGCAGAAATAGAGTTTATAGTGCAGCACTATAAAAAATGTGTGGCAAACACAGATTATGTTATCTAAGTGTAATTATTAATGTCTTTAAATTTACAAATTGCATGAAAGGTAACTTTTTGGATCTATTCAAATACAAAGATTGAAGAGTGATTAGTGCAAGCTGTTAAAAGTATGTGATAACATGTGTGGGTTTTTGGGAAGCAATATCCAAAAAGGGAGCACTTGCCAGATGCTGTCTTTATAAGGTGTGAACAGGTTAAGAAATACACTCTGCTGCATTGTTCTTTAAACTAGCTGTTCATGAGAAAAAATCAGTTTGATGAGGCTTCTGTCAACATCTTTGTGTTTCAGCAGTTAGATTTTTGTGATATGACCATATTTCTGAACTCGGTTATGGGACTGTTTTCAGAATGTCATTTATGATGAAGGAATGCCCGTGACATTGAATCTTGTTAAAAGATCGTGTGGTTTCATTTTTACTTACCCTGTTCAACTGGTCTGAGCAATTTTTTGCTCTGTTAAATCAGTTGTTTGGGTGGGTCTAGACTTAGCTAATACAAAAGAGAATAGGATTTTATTCTACTTATTTATTGAAAGTTCCATCCTGCCTGTAATATTGAAATGCTCTTTTGAGTTTTCCATAATCGTTTAGTCTGGCTCTGTGTACAGCAGTGTACCAAATTGCAGTTGTGACTGGAGGGAGAAATCTGTGAAAACAACAGTAAGAAATTCTTACCTTTTGTGTCTGTATTTTACACTATTTACTGTTAACATGCTTGGAACATTTAATGGGAACATGTTTTGTCTCTGAGCTATTCTTCAGCTTTTTCTAAAGGGAGAGGCTTCTAGGTATCAATTTCTTTATTTAAAAAATAGACCTACTAAATGTTCTTAAAAGGAAAATTTATAGCTTATTTTTAAAACAATATAAAGCCAAACTATGATTTCTGTTGAAAGGTCTGGTTCTTAAGGATTTTGGTTTCCCTTCTTATGGCAAAGATAAGGTTATTCTAAGAGTGAAATAGTAAAAGTAAAAATAATTCAGAAACTGATAGTATTCCTCTCCAGTGCAGTTGCTGTATGATGCCTTAATTATCAACCTGAAATTCAAGTTCTACTGAAGTTCTTAGAGGAAATATACTGTTGATTCAGCGGTGTCAAGAATTCACAGCTGAAAATAAACTTATGCCGTGAATACTTGATTGCCGTTTTCTCTTGAGTGGAACTAGAGTGCTCAAAGGTTTTTTAATTATATGTTGTGATTTGAATTGGTGAGTTAATCATCGTAACTGAATGAGTTTGAGGTGTGTGATAGATAAAGGAACCGTAGTTTGAGTTACTGAAGACATGCAGTCTGTGTTTTTCTTTGGGTATCGCAGGGAGTGAAGACGATACTAAATGCCGCTGAGAAGTGAGCTGCAGCTCTGTGGCTTAGTCTGTGTCAAGCTGGTTTTTTTTTCCCTGAGTATTTTAGGCAGCTAGCTTTAGACAGTGTCTGTGCACACTCCTGACTTGAATTCATGTAATAGTTTAGTTGACGTTAGACATCAGATTGTAGGTGCTTTTAATGAAATTGTCAGTAGGTTTTTATTTTGTTTGTGGAAGCTGATTTGCCTATTTACTTTTGCTAACACTTGTGTTCATTTTATCTGTTTTAAGATTTCTACAGGGGCTGGTGTCACAAACTATGCGTGTTTATAATAGGGGCAGAAATGAAAAAGAATGCATGTTGCAGGTCAGAGAAGGGTGCTTTGGCTTAAATGTCTGCCCTTGTCTTACTTTTATAAATATTAAGTTAATTAAAAATATTTTAAAACACGAGGCTTTAAAAGAAAATCCAAATAATAATTCACTCACTGAATCCTCCTGTTGTGTTGTTCAGTTGTGTGGTGTTTTGATTGTTTGCCTTTTTGTTTTTCAGCATTGTAAGTGAAGCAGGGGCATCTATCTACAGTGTCAGTCCAGAAGCAGCCAAGGAGATGCCAGACTTAGACCCTAACCTAAGAAGTGCAGGTATGACATGTATTTCATTTTGTCGTTATTTCAACACAGAGCTCAGTTCTCAGACTGTATCGTTTATAATGTTAAGTATAATAGTAGTAAAAAGTGTGAAAAGTGAAAGTTTTGGATGTTTTGTTTCTAAACTGCTATCATTTCACCTCTGAAGTTCTAGGTATGCAAATCAATGACATAATCTTTTGCTAAAGTCTGTAATCTAAAGGTCCCTGTGGATGTATTCCTTCGATAGGCTGGTACAGGAGAATTTATGGGGATTAACCAATGAATTGCATAAATTTTCACAGTTGGATGGATCCATGCCCACAACAGCTACACATTCCCTCTCTTCTCTTGTCCCTTGTATGTCTCTAACAATAATTAAACACTTTAAGGGCTAGAAAAAAACCCATAAGCATAGAATAGATAATTTAAAGGTGTGCATTCATTGTGATCACTTTGAAGTCTTCATGTAAATTAGTATAGTGCTCGAGAAATACTATTTACTTTTAGGGGGTTTTAAAATTATTTACTTCAGCATGAGCTTTAGTGCAGCCCAAGTTCTCAGAAATGCACAAATGTTGCCACTGTTATAATTTTCAGTGTTCGGTTAAAGAGTAGTCTCTGAAGATCAAATTCCTAGCAGCCTTGTTGGTGTCCAAATTCTACTCATGGATTTGGTTTACTAGGAGACAGCTGCAAGCACAGGTCTCAGGTTATTTTTGGTTTTGTGTATTTGATTTGTGTGTCTTTTTTGTTTTATTTATTTTTTTCTTTCCCTGCAATTTACTATCACAATCAAATATAGCATATTTGAAAATGCAGTAACACTCATGTATAAATCTTTTCTAGTCAAAATTCTGCTATCCTTAATTTTAGTGTTACTCTACTAGGTTACTGGTCTGGAAATGCTTAGAAAGGTATAGATCATCAGAAAATAGTTCTGAATTTACATGGTATTTCAGGGAAATACTTCCTAGAATTCTCCATCTTCCTATTTCCTCTTATTTCCACAAGGTTAACTCAGTTGTTCACGGGAATGTTTTTACAGGAATATTCTAAATGTCTGTATCAACTCTTCCCTTTGCAGGACAGGCCTCTATCATTTTTTTTTTTTTTTTATTTGACTCTTTGCTCTCTCCCTATGAATGGACTCCATTGGGATTATTTTCGTCCTGGGTCACAGAGGTTTTGAATGTCGTGGTATGGCCAGTGTGAATATTAAGCATGTGACATTTCTGTATTTGTGACAGATGCCACTAACTTCCCCTTGGGCCAAAGTTGTTGTTGGGGGTTTTTTTTGGTAGTTCTTTTTTTTTTTTTTCCTAATGTTGCCACTATGTTAAATGTGGGTTTCGTGTTGATGTAAATGAACAGAAAAAAACTGAGAAGGAGGAAATCTAATTATTAACAATAGACTTTTTCAAATGTACATGATTTTCTCTTTTTTCTGAAATTAACTTTTGAACAGTTTAGACACTTTTATTTAGTGTTTTGCATCAAACAGAGTAAAGGAAAATGAAATTTGTAATACATGACCAATTTCAGTATTAATTATCTAGAGTTTGTAATTTCTTGATTATTACTAGGAATTGCTTCAGGCATAACTTAAGTGTTGCATCTAGTTTGAAAAGCATCAGCAATTTTAACGTGCTGCAGCCAGTACCACAGACTGGCTAGTGGGATAGAAAGTCAAAAATACTTGCTTAATTCCTTGGATGTCAGCTGTTATGGATCTGACAGCTAGAAGTATATGTATTACAATGGAGTATTTCTAGAAGTTTTAGACTTCCTTCTTCACGTCTTTTGGTGTCAATTTGTAATTAACTGTGCTAAAGCTGTGGACATTTTTAAACTGGAACATGAAAACATGACATAACATTAGAGGGAAGCATTAAATGATATTTGGGGCTTTTTGCAAACTTTTTTCTTGACTAGCTTTTACTTTTGTACTTTTGATTTTCCTTTAATTTGCAGCAAACAGAGAAGTGAAATGGTGTCAAAGCTGACTTGCTTTTTGTTTTAATTGTTGTGTTACATCATGTCAGTTTCTATGCTGACATGATAGCATTTAGTACATTAAAGGAAGCTGACAGCTGCATGATAAAGTGTGACATTTATAGTTAAAATAAAAGGTACAACTGACGTGAGATATCTCTGATCTTAACGCAGTTTGCCACTTTAACATTTTTCTGAACACAAACTTTATAGAAGGTTTGGGGGTTTTTCCTCAGTTACAGAGGTAGGCCTATGTTTGTCCATATAGGTAGATAGATACGTATTAAGTAAAGCGTGAGAACGTACTTCCACATCATGTGATGTGATCTTTGTCATATTTGTAGTGCTGGTTACCAACTGATTGTAAAAATTTTACACTTCTGACTGAGAAATAGAAGACATCAATCCTGATAAAAATACTGCCTTATTAACTTCTCCTTGGCTGAGTGTTGTATATAGGGGGGAAAACCAGCAGCCTTTAGCATTTCTTGGGGGTGCTAATTAAAGTATTAGTTAAGCCAAGAACTCAACTAGTTGTTATTTTTTTCCCTTTGAGCTGTCTTTGATGGTCATGGATGACATAGATTTTATTAAATGACTGAGATCTCATTATAAACTAATGATGCATGTATAAACTATAGTGAAAAGTCTTTATAGTAATTCCTACAGCGCTTTTTGACAAAACTGCACTTGCTTGGAAATAAAAGTATTTGTTTCTTAAACAATTTGCTTGTATCTACAGTGCAGAGGATGGAATAGAGTCCCTCCAACTTTAGAATTGTTCTCCAGAGATGGCCACTTTCTGGCACCAGCAATAATAGATCCTAATAGCACTCTTTGCACCGGGTTCGTTAAAATTTTTATAACACCAAATCTGAGTATTTCATGAAAGTGCAGAAGCTTCTGTACTGCTACTCAAATTCCTATAAAGTCTCGTGGAGTGAGACTCCACTAAGTAGATAGTAAAGAACTTGATGAAACTTAGTTACTTGTGTTTGAGTAGAGTGAGAAGGTAAATATCCTCTTCTGACAGTCATTGTAGGATTAATGAGCAGAACAGCTATTTCTCAGCCTCACAGAATTAGGAGATAAGAGGCTTATAGGCCAGAGCAATAAAAGGATTTCCTACTTGATATAGGCTGAGGAAGTTCAGCTGCAGCAGATTAGGAGGGTTCTGCCTAGAGAACAAGCCACTGGAGTTCAGTAACGGGGATTTTTGGATGAACTTGGGATAGGGTTGCAGCCTGACAGAGAAGGGAGTGCAAGGCTTCCTTGAATTCTCCTTCCTAAAAGCTGTGCCTGAGGACAAGCTGAAGACTCGGGATGGGAATTTTTGTAGGGGACAATGAACGCCATAAAAAGAGCGCTTAGCAAGCTGGAAGTGGTGATCACCTTTATGGAAGTTACTAATATGTGCCCCCTCAAGACTTTGTGACTGCCTGCTCTGACGTCGGTGGAACGGTAATGGGGAGCTGTGAGGCTGCACCACTGACTGCATTTCTGCTCTTCCCCTGGCACGTGTCCTCTGGCCACCCTCTTAAAGTGCAGTGTTTAATTTGGTGGAGCTCTCATAAAGGCAGCAAATTCATGTGTACTTGGTTGTCCTGTTCTTTTGTTGGTTTGTAGAGCTGTTTTTTTTTCTTTCTCCTGAGCTACCGTCAGTGTGACACTTCATGTTTTAACATTTGGTTGGCTTTTATTCATGGCAACATCAGGTAGGAGTTTTTCACTGTAACTTGTCTCTAAGATCTTCCAGCTTACTCTAGGTCTCTGTGGTTGAGATTTGCTTCTCCCTTTTTTTTAATGGAAGACCTGGATCAAATTGCACTTGAAGTAGTTCCAAGTGCCAGTGCTCAGCGAGCTGTTGCTTTGTCTTGCAAGTTTTCCAGTAATTGCCGTTAGTTGTCCTTCATTGTCCTCCAACATGTGAAGGGCTTGTGGTCTTCTGTCAAGACCACATAGTTGTGTTGCCCAGTTAGGAAAGCAATGAATGCAGATAAAATATTCCCTAAAGTTACTTTTTTTTTTTTTGCAGAGATTTGGAATACTAACACAGCAAGCATGTGTGTTGTGCTACATGCACAGGTATGATCCAGTATAGGAACTGTGGTGATTCTAAAGGATGATTTTTGAAGACAGAGAAGAATCTGAGAGAGCAAAAGGTCAAACAGCACAGCTTGCCTTGGCATTGTCAAATCCCATCTGCTTGTCTCCTCTCCACAGGGCAGAATGCATTGGATTATTGTACACTCAAAGTTCAGCACACCACTTGCACTTTTCCTTGCAGAAGAAAGCCTTATAGGCTTTTGGGGCTTGTTAGGACTTTGAGACTGTCATGCTACAGGGTTTTATTCCCTGGGGTGCTGTTAAAGATAGAGACATACAGTTCAGAGCTGTCATACCGGCCTGCAAGTAGAAGGTAGACATTGGAAAAAATATAATTTCTTTTGACTTCATCTTAAGGAAAGTAAAACAATTTGATGATTAGATGTGTGGGACCTCGTGCCTTGATGTCTACTTGAACTAATTTCTTCATCTTAATAAAAGAGCACTACTCCCCCTTGGCTACTCAGAAGAGAAGGTCATTTTTCAAAAACTTTATTGGACAGAAGTCTTACGGTTAAACCGTTCACACTGCTTTCTAAGTGGAAGCTTCTATCTACAGTTAATCATAGAGGATTGGTGCAAGTTCCACAAGTTTTCAGGAAGAGTTAGAAAGAAGGAAAGTAAGGACTGAATTCTTATGCTTTAGGTCATATTGCCTGCCTGTTCAGTTGGGTTGCATGCAATTAGAGCAGTACAAAGTGAAATTGTATTCCATCTTTTATCTCCTGTAGTCTGTAGCATTTAAGAATAAGTTTAATTATACTGTTGGAAGGGAAAATATGCAGTGGCTTGAAACAAAATGGATGGTGAACAGTAGTAATAGGTAAAGAAGGGCTTTTTCCTTCTCTCCCCATGGGACCCAGTTCCTACTAATGAGCAAGAAGCTCATCTCGAGGTCTGGGATAGGGTCTACG